TATGATCTGGCCTTAGATTAAGAATAATTTAAGAGCACTATTGAAATAGTATCTGAATTGAATAAAATGTGTTGATATGAACTGAATAATATCAAAACTGTGAATGTCTGAAACGAACCTTGTGTGCATGATATCAAAAGATTTGATTATGAATTTAGATTCAGTTTATATGGATGTTCGACGCATTAGATATGCTTACTCAGCTTTACCGCTGAGCGTGTAGTGTGTTTTATTTGCTACACGCAGGTAAATAGAAAGATTAATGTGATTCTGGCGGCAGATGGGGCGAGATTGTCGGGATGGATGTGACAAGTTTGAAATGATTTATGATATGTCAAAATTAAATTCGCTTCCGCAATATTGTTGAATACTCCGTACTGTATGTGTTATGAAAAATATTATTATGATAAATAAAAGTGTTTGAAAAGTTTTAAATTTTTACGATTACCAAGTTAAATACTTTAGTCTCAAAGGGGCTGCAGACCTGGACGGATTAGGGTGTTACAATCATAAAGGAAAATCCTGAGAAAATTGACAAAGAAAACTTGAGACAAGGAATTCAAGAAAACCTTGCTGAACATCGTCAGAACGTTAGCTCATTTCCTCCAATGAATCCTTCATCAACGTCGTTTTAATATGGAAATCCTTCGCCCTCATATATGTGTTGAATATAAGTAAGCCCTAGAGGCCAACTGATGATTCCATATCTATATCGAGTACAATAGGCCCTAAAGATTGATTAAGTCGTCTCGTGTGATTTAAACTTAGGTTTAGTCCATAGAGTAGGCGCTCTAGTAACATAGATGAGAACTACGACGTTCTGATTATGAGGTTGTTACAAAGATAGAGGCTACGTCCAAAATATCCTTAGTCGAATATTATGACAATACGGACATCATAATATATCAAGACTAATACGTATGAGATGACCCGCTATGAGAATAATATATGGGTTTAAGTTAAACTGTTAATATTATTCTCATCCGGCCATTAGTATAACTATCCTTTGACTTGAAGTCATTACGATCTTTGGTAAGTTGAGTTGGATACTTTGAAGCATGATTTATGCCAGATGAAATATTGGTGGATGTACAATTATGTTTTGGGTATGTAATGAAACTTAAGCAAAGATGTGAATGCCGCAGATAGAATTTATCCCTTCTTTAATTGAAGTGTAATATCTCAAGGCCCACTGATTGATGTGACTTGGAAAGTGCATGGCCATGCCCAAATAAAATGTTATTTGAATCTCATAAGTCAATCGAAGAATCAGTAAACCATCGATTTAACTCTAACAAGGTGACACACCTTATACCTTGTGTGAAATCAAGATATTACTGATAAAGGGATAAGGGTTATACAAATAAGATATGTCGTTGAAGGAATTGCTCCAAGATCTTTATATCTATAATTTGGAGGTGATAATGTGTTGCTAGATACCGCTAATCACTTGTAATATTTAATCAATACTATTGCCAATTTTATAGGTACTTAGAATAGGGTCACACACATAGAACATATGAAATTGTATAATGTTTAAGTGGAGTAAAGTAGTATTTTATATATTTTGTTGTGTGACAATATGATTAGATACAGAAACATATAAATATAAATAAATATTTATATTTGGACATTTTAATTATGTAATAATTAAGTATGTCAAATATGATTAATAATAATATATAAATATACATATATTTGGATATATATACATAAATAATAAATTGTTTATTATTTCATCTTATTATTGTTAAGATGCAATAATATTTATATATTTGATATTAGGACATTTTAATTATATGTTAACTTAGTTTGTCAAATATTATTTAAAGGAACAAAATATAACATTATTACATATATATATATATATATATATATATGTGCGTGTGTGTGTGTGTGTGTGTGTGTGTATATATATATATAGGGATTGACTCCAGTGAGATGACACCTTATGGTGAGATGACATGCTTCGGTCAGATGACGCAAAGCTCACCACTGGTCACTGCAAAGCTCACCAATGGCCAATGTAAAGCTCACCAAACTGTAAGGCAAAGCTCACCATATTTTTTTCAACACTTTGAATTTTTTTCCAAAAAATAAAAAACCTCACCACATTACACTGCAAAGCTCACCAATGGCCAATGTAAAGCTCACCTAGAAATAAGGCAAAGCTCACCACTTTGAACACCAAAACTCACCTTTTTTTATTTTGAAAATAAAAAAATTAATAAAAAATAAAATAGCAACACCGGTCAACCACCTGTCAGTGGCGGCGACGCAGCGGAGACCGGCGGCGGAGATCGGCGGCAGCGGCGGCGGCGGGCGGTGGGCGGTGGTGGTCAAAGTCCAGTCAGCTTTTCCTTCGATTATGGTCAACGGTCAACGGTCAAAGTCTAGTCAACACCACTTCCTTTGATTTTTTTTCAAAAAAAATTCAAAGTGTTGAAAAAAATATGGTGAGCTTTGCCTTAGAGTTTGGTGAGCTTTGTAGTTGTCCTTGGTGAGCTTTGCAGTGGCCAGTGGTGAGCTTTGCGTCATCTGACCGTAGCATGTCATCTCACCGTAAGGTGTCATCTGACTGGAGTCAATCCCATATATATATATATATATATATATATACATATACCATCTACTTCCCAAAAACACAATTCAGTCCCACTGCCCCACCATCACAATGATGACAGCTTGGCCTTGGTCCCCTTCTCTTCTAGTCCAGGAGCCCCTTCCCTTTCCACAAACCTTTTCAGTAAAGATGCCTAGTGGGTTAGCAAACCCTCCCTAGCCTCCTCAATGTGCGTGAATATTGGGAACCTGGACAAAGATGAAGAAATCTCCACCTTGTATTGCCACTCTGAAGGCAAAGAAGGGGATATGCCTTTCGACAGTTCTGAGCTTCGTCCTCTCCAGGTGGACATTTCCTCTTTCACCTCCACCCCCATGCCTTTCAAAAAGTACCTCAACAACTCCAAAGAATTTACTCCTCATGCAATGGAGACAAGGAGTAAGAGCTCTAATAAAGTATCCTCGTTGGTTTCCAAATGCAGCTGATTTTTTGGAATGTCTGTGGGGTGCCCTCTTCCCTCGATAGACTTCTTTCCCTCAAGAGGATTCACACCCCTTCTTTCTTCTGTCTTTTTGAACCTAAGATTTCGGCCTCACACATATCTACCTTCGGTCTCAAATTGGGTTACAACAACCATCTCTCTTCGGCTAATAACAAGAGATGGATTTTTTGGGATTCTAGCATGCTTCATTTGGTTTGCTATAATGATGAAGAACAAGTTACTCACTGTAACTTCTCTATGGTAAACTACTCTAACTCCAACCTTACCATCTCTTGTGTCTATGGGGCTCACACGGTGGTTGAACGAAGGCATCTTTGGGAGAGCTTGCAGGGGAGGAGTAACTTTAATGCTATCTCTTCCCCTACAGAATACAAAGGTACGTGTGAACCTAGTGCACACGGAATGGAAGAGTTCAACTCGTGCATTGAAGCATGCAATCTGTTCTGTTCAGACCTTACTGGTGGCCTCTTTACGTGGTCTGGCACAAGGAGCCATGGGAAAACTTGGCGTAGGTTGGACAGAGTCCTGGTTAACTTAGAATTCCAATCGTCCTTTCCTAACTTTTACACTCACCACTTACCCAAAGCTTGTAGTGATCACAAAGCTATTCTCTTCTCTTGTCACTCTAGCCAAAAACGCGGGCCATCTTCCTTCAGATTCCTTGATGTCTTGATACACCACGACCAGTTCCTCCAAGTGGTTAAGGACAGTTGGAATAAAAGTCACACCTGCGGTGGCATGCGAGGAAATGTGGCCAAACTAATAGATCTAAAGGGTTGTCTTAGGGAATGGAACAAGGAGTTTGGAAATATCTTTGATAATCTAACTTTGGCGGAGGATCTTTCAACCCAAACCCAACTATGTTATGAGGAAGACCCATCCGAAGCAAACCTTAAGAAAGCCCAGGAGGCCAATGCCAAGCTTCTACTAGCTACTCACAAAGAGGTGGCATATTGGAAGCAAAAAGCTAATGCTAGATGGCTTGAAAATGGGGATTTCAACTCCAAGGCTTTTAATGGGGAGATAATTGTAACGCCCTACAAACTGGCCTATTAGCTAGCAAGTATTTTAAATAAATAAATATTATTTATTGAGACTCATTATTTTAATTAATAAATATTGAGATTTTGACCTCTTAAATGACTTCCAAAGTTAATGTATTTTTAATTATAAAATTAATGTATTTTAATAACGGGTCTCTTAACATTAAGTAAATAAATTAATTAATGTTTGGGATGAATCCAGATGTTTGAAAATAAAGTTTTTGGAAAAATATTTTGAAGATATCATAAATTTAGTTTTGACTAATTATTTCCGAAAATGCAAACGGTTTTCAATTCGGACCTGTTCAGGGGAGTAAGCGCGTACCGTTTGGGTCAGATTTTACACAACGGAGTGGAATTTAGGGAGATAACTCCCCACATCAATCCACAAGCCACTAACCCCTTACTCTCCCATAACCCCCCATTCAAATTCCCTTTTTAATAATCCATTAATCCTTCATCAATTCTTTAAATATAAATCCTCCCTTTCCTCTTCACTTTCTCCACCACAATTGTAACTCCCATTCAACATCACAACTCTCCCTTCCCTTGTGTTCGGCCAACCCACAGCAGCAGCGAGGCGAGGAGATTCCGGCGAGTAGACGGGGAGGTAGAAGAAGGAAGTTCATGCAAGAAGTTCGACCGATCGTCGTTCGACGTTGTCATCCGTTTGTTCATCTCGTTCTTTGTTCCATCAACCCCTTCATTAGAGGTGAGTACGTTGCCCTCTAACTTTAGAATTCATAGTTCAATCATATCCTTATATTCATAAGATTACCCGGCTAAACATACGTGCATCCACGTTATCATGACTCTTCGTTAATTAGACCTTTCGATTACGCACTTGATAATATAAATGTTATGAAACTTTTCAAACTCATCGATTACTTAAGCCGGAAACGTACACTTTCATTTCTAAAATTCTTAACGTCACGATGAATATCCAACAGGCAAAATAGGAATCAGCGTGCCTTAATAATCGATTTACAGAACTGGATAATCGATTTTCGGGTCACGCTGAACTCCTCAGTTGATCTAGCAAAGCGTGATAATCGATTATCACAAAGGTGACAATCGACTATCAGGCCCTGCAGATTCTCAAGCCAGAGTTTGGTTTCACTCATAATCGATTATCACAATATAATAATCGATTATCAGGCCTCTCTGAACTTGGACTTTTCCGAATAAACAACATGACAATCGATTGTCAGAAGGTGACAATCGACTATCACAAGCTGCAGGACTTTGGGAACAGAAGCTGCAATGCGTGATAATCGATTATCAGCCAGTTCTGAACCCAAACCATCATTTTGTACAAATCATTTCATATGAAATCAAACGTATATGTATGTGTTGAACTTCATTCATCAAGCAATGCATTCATAACATCATGTATATCCTTGACGCATGTTTAGGATCATGGCATGCTTTGCATACCACGGCAAGAGGTCAGGCCCCGTGCGCCTCTTCCATGGGCCCGTCCAGGAGCCTTCAGGATCCAACGGGTTTCACATACCGCGACAAGAGGTCAGGCCTAGTGCGCCTCTTTTGCGGGCCCGTCCAGGAACCTTCAGGATCCAACGGGTTTCATTAGGAGGGCTTATGTACGTACATGGTAGCTAGGCTTAGCTATCACCCACATTCTAGGCTCCTTCAGGAGACTAAGGCGTTCCTCGGCTCATCTAGCTCATGCATCATGGATTATGTGGCATTACATATTTTATAACGTTTAACATTGTTCATCTTGTTTATCAAACTCGTGTGTGGTATCTCGTACTTTAGTACAGGTGCAATTATGTTTATATCAATGTGAATGTACTATGCGTTCTACTGTTAGATTACCACTCACCTTTTGCTGAGCGTATAGCGTTGTTTCCCTTTGTTATACGCAGGTAGGCGAGAGGATCATGGAGCCTGACCCGGATGATTGGGTGATCGGGGCGGCGGATGAGCGACAGTGCGGGCCGAATTTACCATTTATTTAATTATGAAAAACGTTTTGGGCTTGAACCCACTGTTGTGGCACTTACGTTATTAATGACTTAACGGTTTTATTTACACTTACTTTCTGTTGGACATGAGTTCAAACCCCTTTATTATTGTTCGGAATATTTTTTTGTTTTGATAAACGACAAACAGGATGATTAAATCGATATTCGAAAATTTATTTTTCGTATCGAGAAAAGCAAAGAAGGGTATCAAGAAGTTTACGGCGATAAAAATCGACGATCACCCCTACGCAGATTTTTTGGAAGTGAAGTGAAGACTCCGAAGACTTTTTCATTTTTTAAGTCTAGGAATCTTTGTAAGGATGACAATATTTTCTGCACAAACGAATTAATTTCTGAGGGATAAAAATAATTATTTTTGAGTGAGTTGAAAAATTACTTTTCCTCTGTCTAAAATATTTTAGTGAGTCAGTTTCAAAATAAGTGTGTCAAAATTTCTTTAAAACATTTTTTTAAGATTACACAATTTTTTTTGGTAAGAAAAATATAATTTAAATATTTTTTCGTGTACATCGTTTGACACACAAAATAATTTTTGGACTCTTTTTCTCTCCCCTACTCAAATTCATTGAATAGGAAGAGCGTCTGTTGATATTCCCGTTGTCCCAAACAACGAGTTAGAAGCCAAAGGCTTCCAATTGCACTTGGCTTGGGCCCTTCATGTTTGCACATTATTTTCACTTTAATCGATTAAATTTTCTAAAATAATCTATTAGATCCAATTTCTCAGCGCTGGATTTCTCAGGCAAATAGACTTAATCGATTAAATTGCTCCATTTAATCGATTAGTTTAAACAGAGCAAGCTAATCGATTTTTCTCTTCTTTTTAATCGATTAATTCCACCTTTGCATTCAAGCCTTTTCGCTTCTGCACACTTTAATCGATTAAAGTCCCTAATTTAATCGATTAATTCTGTCTGGTGCCTATTCTTAGTTCTTTTCAGTGGCTCCAACGGATCTTTTTTTTCTCAGCCTATTTAATCCCTCATTCTCCTTCATTTCTAAACACATCTCATACACTCCAATATATTCTTTGAGCTATATTCATCCTTTGCTTCATCTTCCTCATCAAAATATTATTTTTGAGAGTTAGAAATATTTTCTTTGAGTGCTAAAGAAGTTGTCATCCATAGAGCTTTAATTCTTCAACACTACTTTGCTCAATTGTGTGAGCTTTCATTCTTGTGTTGTAAACTCAATCTCATTTGAGTGTTGTTCTTAAGACTTGTGTGACTCAAGTCTTGTTGTTGTAAGAAAGTGAGGCTTGTGTGATTCAAGTTCTCAAGTTGTACCGGTTTTTCAAGCACCCGTTGAAGCTTGAAGATTAGTAGGACTTTCGAGAGAGTCTCTCGGAGGACTGGACTAGCCACGAGGTGGTGAACCAGTATAAATCTCGGTGTTCTTCTTTCCCTTACTCTCTTTATTTATTCCTGCGATTTTATTATTTCACACACGCGAAAAACGCACATTCTTGAAAACAACTCTANATATTCTTTGAGCTATATTCATCCTTTGCTTCATCTTCCTCATCAAAATATTATTTTTGAGAGTTAGAAATATTTTCTTTGAGTGCTAAAGAAGTTGTCATCCATAGAGCTTTAATTCTTCAACACTACTTTGCTCAATTGTGTGAGCTTTCATTCTTGTGTTGTAAACTCAATCTCATTTGAGTGTTGTTCTTAAGACTTGTGTGACTCAAGTCTTGTTGTTGTAATAAAGTGAGGCTTGTGTGATTCAAGTTCTCAAGTTGTACCGGTTTTTCAAGCACCCGTTGAAGCTTGAAGATTAGTAGGACTTTCGAGAGAGTCTCTCGGAGGACTGGACTAGCCACGAGGTGGTGAACCAGTATAAATCTCGGTGTTCTTCTTTCCCTTACTCTCTTTATTTATTCCTGCGATTTTATTATTTTACACACGCGAAAAACACACATTCTTGAAAACAACTCTATTCACCCCCCTCTAGAGTTGCACATTTGTCTAACACTTGGTATCGGAGCAGGGAGTTCTTCGAATACGCTATTTTTTTTAGGAACTAAAAGATCAAATGGCATCAAGAATGTTCAACGCGGGATTGACCGAGGGACAATCAACCACGAGGCCACCGTTGTTCGATGGAACAAACTACTTGTATTGGAAGGAGAGGATGAGAATCTTTATCCAATCCAACGACTATAAGCTGTGGTTGATCGTGAAGAACGGCTGCAGAGTCCCTATGAAGAAAGTCGGTGAAGTCAATGTCCCCAAAACCGAAGAGGAGTTCACCGACGAAGATTGCAAAAAGATGGAGCTCAATTCAAAGGCAATAAACATGATTTATTGCGGTGTTAATGCGGATGACTACCGCAAAATCTCACGGTGTGAAACCGCAAAACAAATGTGGGAGAAATTGGAGGTCACCTACGAAGGAACCGCGCAGGTTCGAGAGGCCAAAATTGACCATCTCACTCACGAGTATGAACTCTTTTCAATGAAGGAAAATGAGAAGATAGAGGAAATGTTTGAGAGATTCTCTAACATCATCAATCCTCTCAATCTTCTCGGGAAGACATACACCGACCGAGAGCTC